GCTGATTCTCTTGAAATATCCCTTTTTGATGATGCTTGCTATGCTTGTGGCCAAGATGCCAATATGAATTATGCTTATGGAGATGAACTTGCTATAGTTCCTTATGTTAAACATGAAATTGTTGCTATTGCACCCACGCATGATAGTCCTATTGTCCTTTTGAATTCTCCCGAGTACACTATATCGGAGAAATTTGCGCTTAGTAAGGATTATATTGATGGGTTGCCTTTTACCGTTGCACATGATAATTTTGATGAATGTGATATGAATGTGCTTGCTGCTCCTACTTGCAATTATTATGAGAGAGGAACTATATCTCCACCTCTCTATGTTTCCAACAATATGGTAGAATTGCAAGAAACTGTTTATACTATGCATTGGCTTTTACTTGGTGTGCATGAATTGTTCTTTTATGACATGCCGCTGCATAGGAAGAGAGTTAGACTTCGTTGTTGCTTGATATTTTTTACTTTGTGCTCACTACTAAATTACAAATCATTGTTAATTAAAATTGGCTTTGATATACCTTGGGATCCGGGTGGATTCATTACTTGAGCACTATATGCCTAGAGTATGGCTTTACAGAAAGCGCTGCCAGGGAGACAACCCGGAAGTTTTAGAGAGTCATTTATTTCTGTTGAGTGCTTTTATATAGTTTTAAAACACAAAAATAAAGAGGGGAACCTAAAAACTTTTCAAAAAGGAAAGTGAAAGTGAGAAAGGCAAGCATTGTTGAAGTGGGAGCTAGCCTTGAACTTTGTTCATGCTCACGGAAACTTTGTGAATCTTGATTACAGAAACTTTTCATCAAAATAATTATCCCCTTGTACAATTCCATTGTATTATAAAAATAATGTGCCAAGGTTTGCCTTTAGGATGTTTACAATGCTTGTTGGTTTGCACGGTGCAGGACAGAAACATTGGCTGTAGTACGCAATTTTACATTTTTAACTGGAACGTAAATTGGTTCTGATTCCTTTTGCACTGTCTTGACATACAACTTGTTTATTTTTCCTAATTTTGGTAGAATTTTTGGGGTACCAGAAGTATTGTGATTGCTCAGATTGCTACAGACTGTTCTGTTTTTGACAGATTCTGTTTTTGACGCATAGTTTGCTTGTTTTGATGAAACTATCAATTTATATCAGTGGATTAAGCCATGAAAAAGTTATATTACAGTATACACAATGAAAAAACAAAATATGAATTGGTTTGCGACGGTACTTAGAGTGGTGATTTGCTTTATTATTCTAACGGATCTTACCGAGTTTTCTGTTGAAGTTTTGTGTGGATGTAGTGTCTAATCGAGGATGTCTCGATATGAGGAAAAGGAAGAGAGGCAAGAGCTCAAGATTGGGGATGCCCGAGGCACCCCAAGTAAATATTCAAGGAGACTCAAGCATCTAAGCTTGGGGATGCCCCGGAAGGCATCCCCTCTTTCTTCAACAAGTATCGGTATGTTTTTGAATTCGTTTCATTCATGCGATATGTGCAAGTCTTGGAGCGTCTTTTGCATTTAGTTTTCATTTTTCTTTTATGCATCATGCTGGTATGAGATAGTCCTTGGTTGATTTATAGAATGCTCATTGCACCTCACTTAAATCTTTTTGAGTATGGCTTTATAGAATGCTTCATGTGCTTCACTTATATTATTTGAAGTTTGGATTGCCTGTTTCTCCTCATATAGACAACCGCCATTTGTAGAATGCTCTTTTGCTTCACTTATATTTGTTAGAGCGGGGGAATATCTTTTGTAGAAAGAATTAAACTCTCTTGCTTCACTTATATCTATTTAGAGAGATGACAGGAATTGGTCATTCACATGGTTAGTCATAAAATCCTACATAAACTTGTAGATCGCTGAATATGATATGTTTGATTACTTGCAATAGTTTTGTGATATAAAGATGGTGATATTAGAGTCATGCTAGTGGGTGGTTGTGGATTGTAGAGACACTTGTGTTGAGGTTTGTGATTCCCGTAGCATGCACGTATGGTGAACCGCTTTGTGATGAAGTTGGAGCACAATTTTATTTATTGATTGTCTTCCTTATGAGTGGCGTTCAGGGACGAGCGATGGTCTTTTCCTACCAATATATCCCCCTAGGAGCATGCGCGCAATACTTTGTTTTCAATGGCTTGTAGATTTTTGCAATAAGCATATGAGTTCTTTATGACTAATGTTGAGTCCATGGATTATACGCACTCTCACCCCTCCATCATTGCTAGCCTCTTCGGTACCGTGAATTTCCCTTTATCACCTCGAGAGTTGGTGCAAACTTCGTCGGTGCATCCAAACCCCGTGATATGATACGCTCTGTCACACATAAGCCTCCTTATATCTTCCTCAAAACAGCCACCATACCTACCTATCATGGCATTTCCATAGCCATTCCGAGATATATTGCCATGCAACTTCCATCATCATCATATACATGACTTGAGCATTCATTGTCATATTGCTTTGCATGATCGTAAGATAGCTAGCATGATGTTTTCGTGGCTTGTCCATTTTTTGATGTCATTGCTATGCTAGATCATTGCACATCCCGGTACACCGCCGGAAGCATTCATATAGAGTCATATCTTTGTTCGAGATATCGGGTTGTAATATTGAGTTGTAAGTAAATAAAAGTGTGATGATCATCATTATTAGAGCATTGCCCCAGTGAGGAAAGGATGATGGAGACTATGATTCCCCACAAGTCGGGATGAGACTCCAGACTTTATGAAAAATAAAAGAGGTCAAAGAAGCCCAAATAAAAAAGAGGCCAAAGAAGCCCACCAAAAAGAAAGAAAAAAATAAAAAATGAAAATAAAAGAAAAAATGAGAGAAAAAGAGAGAATGGGCAATGTTACTATCCTTTTACCACACTTGTGCTTCAAAGTACCACCATGTTCTTCATAGAGAGAGTCTCCTATGCTTTCACTTTCGTATACTAGTGGGAATTTTCATTATAGAACTTGGCTTGTATATTCCGATGATGGGCTTCCTCAAATGCCCGAGGTCTTCATGAGCAAGCAAGTTGGATGCCCAGGTGGGTTAAAAAGTTGGAGTGTTGCATTGCAATGCACTGTGCGTCTGTGCCCCACTACAGCGCAGCGCTAGAGAATCTACAACCGGGCACGTCCAAACTCATCTTAAACGTCCATGTGGGCCGCCCGGTCATTAACCGATCATGAAATTTTAACCCACCCGAGCGTCTCAAACGTCGGACTGGTCAACACCTCTCATATTCAGCCCAAATTTGAGATGGATATGAGGCACCCGAGCGCGTTCGCCACGTCAAACCCGGCCCACGCAGGTCCATCTGACCTCACATATATTTCTCCCCATCCGCTCGCCGGACCAAACCCTAGCCACTTCACACTCCACTCCCTCCACCACCCAAGCTCATCTCTGGCGATATTTCATCCGTCTCTGGCATGGCAGACAACGGATACGACTCCGATCAGTCTGGATCCGTTGACTGAGGTGTCATCTTGTGTGGGTTGGAGCAGGCAATGATGGTCCACATTGCACTGCGCCGCTCCTGGGAGGACAGCGCCCGGCCGACAACATGATCTGTCTGGCGCGACTCCATAGCGTCGGCTCAATGGGCGCTCGCTTCCTCTGGGACTGGATCATTGCGTTCTTGGCAGCCGGAAAATCTCTACCGATAGACTAAAAGTGGCCTAAATACAGCCCAATAGACTAAAAGTGGCCCAAAATCAGCCCAATAGACCAAACAACAATGGGTTGGCGTGCTGATGGGCCGACCAGATTAGCATACGGGTCGTGCCTGGGCTGGAGGATGCAGCAAGCGGCCGGCACGGCACAGATCGACTAATAAACATGACGGCGGGCTGTGCCAGCCTGTTTGGCCAGCTCTGTCTGTATATATTACCAAAATAGAGCCCAGTTTCATATTCCGCACCTCCCGTGGGACACTAAATCCTATTCAACGCCCTCTGCTAGTGCTGAATTGAATTGGGGATGCCTTGGTTAATTGTAAACTACAGTAACCACCCTGCCATCCCCAATTGGACGTGGTAATTTTCATCTTTTTATGCGTTTTCTACTTTCCTTTCTCCTTCTGTTTTTTTTTTCTTCTTTTCTTCTTCCTGGGTTCGATGATTTTTTTAAAAAATCCTTGAACTTTTTCTTCAAAATTGATGAACTTTTATCATATTTGATGATTGTTTTTTCAAATTTGGTGAACTAATTTTGAAATTTGATGAACTTTTTTTCCAAATTCGTTGAACATGTTTTCAATTTTTGGAATTTTTTTAATATTGTGAATTTTTTTCAAAATTGATGATTTTTTTTTCAAATTTGTGAACTTTTTTTTTCATATTGATGATTTTTTTTCAAATCAATGATATTTTTTTATCTTTGTGAACTTATTTTTGAAATCGATGAAATTTTTCCGAATTTGTGAGTGATGAACTTTTTAAAATTCCAGTACATTTTTGCAAAAAAAATTGTAATGAACTTTTTTCGGTATTTTATGAGTTTTTGTGAACTTTTATGTTAAAGTTAGCAATCAACAATCTGAGCAGTGTTGTTCTATGCTCGTGGTAAAGGCCCACTAGCGATCGAGGGGATCGAGAGGACGCTCGGGCCGGCCCAGAAAGGGGGTGCGTGGGCGCTGCTTGAAGAGGAGGTCTCCCGCGGGACCGGCTTGTAAGTGACTAGTGAGTTAGGAGTTTGATTCAGCAGAGGGATCCGAGCCCGATCCCTTTCTCCCTAACCCTAAGGCCCTGTTTAGATTAGCGTTTCCGCTCGTTTTCTGGCCTAAACTTGTGACGAGGCGGCGGCGGCGGCGCGACCGCGCAAGGGCAGTGGCGAGGAGGAGGCGGCGCGACCGCGCGAGAACTTGCGGCGGCGGAGGTGCGAGGGCAGCCGGCCTCAACCAGCTTCCGCACGCCTCACCAAACATCCCCTCTACCCGCCCGTCAGTTCTCGGCGTCTTCCCCACACGTCGACCCAAGTCACGAGATCTGTTTCTCCACCACCAATGGCGGCACACGCTCCAGCGCCTGCCCCTGCGGGGTAAGTCATGTTCCTTACCCCTACTGCTGTACTCGTAGAAATGCGCCTGCTACCTGGTAGATTGTATGGGCTGCGTACATCTTTGGCTGCTGAAGAAGTTTCAGATTTGTTTATGGAGTCTGTTTAAAGTGCTGGTTGGTTGTAGTTGTATCAGGGTACTGAACCCGTGGTTTCCTTAATAGAAATCAGAGGGGGAGAGGGCTGTGTATGTCTTTGGCTGCTGAAGATGTTCTAATTTGTTTATGTAGTCTGTTTGAAATGCTGGTTGGTTGTAGTTCTATTAGTGTACTAGTAGAAGCTTGTGGTTTCCATAATACAAAAGGAGAGGATGTGTCTGTCTTCGGTTGGAGAAGTTCAGATTTGTATACGGAGTCTGTTTGAAAATGATGATTGGTAGTCAGCTGTCTCTGGGCAACAGGGACAGGGATGCTTGATGTGTAAACCTAGCTGGAAGCCTCCATTTCTTTTCAGAGAGTTCCCCTGGCTTTTGTGTCATCCTGATATAGTCTAAAGAAATGATGGTTGGTAGTGGTGTATTACTGTACTTGAACTGTCATTTCTATAATAGAAGTTGGTAGCAGCTGGCAAACAAGCTATTTTTTTTTTGCATGTTTCTTCCTCCGTGCAGACCAACACCGGGACAATTGTTAGGAGCTGTCGTTAATCCACCTGTTGCTCTTGGTCTTCTTGTCGCTAATAAAATCTGGGATCCGCTTGCCGATTACATTGGATACCCCTGTGACCGCGAGCGTCGCATCGATGACCACAAACAAGCAGTGCTGAGGGTGATAGCGATGAAGGATGATTTTCTTCTTATAGGGCCATGTCCCCCATCTCTTCAGTCAAGGCACTGGATCAAATGTGTTGAACAATTGGAGAAGACATTTTCAGAAATCCAGGAAAAGTATCTCAGGGGCGGTTACTTCAACACATGCTCGTGTGCTAGAGAAGCCATCAAAGAAACGAAGCGGGCTGAAGAACTTGCAGGTCAGTACAAAGACCTCTGCATAGACATAAAAGCTAGACTACTCCCTGTCAATGTGTCACAGTGGGAAGATTTGTCCCTTGTTACTAATTCATACAAGGATTTGGTGATTAAGTTCATCAATGACACAAGTGGAAAGGCCAGGTTGCTGGGCATCTGGGGTATGGCGGGTATTGGAAAGTCTACTTTGTTGAGACAGGTTTCAAAGTCCCGCTCTGAGTTCATTTCTGACGGGGATGATTTGATTGTGTTAATTGTTGACACTGGTTCAGACTACTCAGTTGCTAAGGTGCAGAAGTGTCTGATTGGACTTCTAGGAGTAACAGTAGCAGCTGATGTTACTGAAGCTGGTGTTGCGCTGGCTATTTCTAACCGTCTCAGGGGGATGCGCTTTCTGGTCATGTTTGATGATCTTTCTGGTCCTATCAACCTTGCTCGAATTGGCATACCAGATGCCCCTCCAGCTAGTCTTAAATGCCAGAAAGTTGTGTTCACTACACAAAAACAAGCAGTCTGTGCGTCAATGGGTGCTGATGAAACCATACACATGGTTTGTCCAAGCGAGATAGAGGCAGAAAAACTGTTCAATCATGCCGTGGGAGCAGACATTCTGAAAGATAAAAGGATATCTTCCCTTTCTCGAACGGTAAGCTAGTCATATTTTATCCTCAGTTTCCCTCTGAATTTACTTCTATCAACCCATGTTGCAATCTATGACTACTATCACCATTTTTTCATGCAGAATAAACATTTAGCTGTGCTGTTATTTGGCAACGCTCTTGTCCTGTACCATTTCTATGTTTAGAATAAGCATTTAACGAGGGTAGTTTTTGCCAAAAAAAAATTGTCTTTGTGCTATTTCTGTTTGTAGAATAAACAATTTTGTGTTCAGAATGAATGTTCTACTGCATGAATCAATTAGAATAATTGTTTGGATGTGGCACAGAAAGGTCCACTAATTTGGACTGTGCATTGAAACTCCCTGAGAAATATTTTGAGACTAGAGTTTTTTCTGTTTACTCCAAAATGTAGGAAAAATTGCATCTCAAGAAATTCATGTTCAGAATTGTATGTTTCGTTTTTTCCTTTCAAAATCGTTGTTAAGTCGTGCATACACTTGCATTACATTTGCATAAGGGAAAATATCAAAATGTGATCTGTCCTAATATGAATCATAATCAAATTCAAACATAGAATTCAGAGATGCATGTGCACATAATTATACAGCGACGATTGTGTATGTTAACATAGAATTCATGTATTGAACAGATCATAAATGAATGCGGACGTCTGCCTGAAGCACTTTGGAAAGTTGGCCGGTCTCTATCGATAAAAGAGAAACCTGAGGAATGGGAGTTTGCGGTGGAGCTGTTGAGGCTGTCAAAATTATCCATGGTCACATATGAGAATGACGATCTCATTGACCGATTGAGGGTGAACTACAATGACTTGGAGGAGAATATGAAAAATTGTTTCCTTGTATGCTCGTTGTGGAGTCAGGATGCAAATATTCCAATCAATGACTTGATCCAGTGGTGGAGAGGCATGAACCTTTTAGATGAGCTCAATGGGCATGCCGAAGGATATGCCTATGTCAGGATGCTCCTGCAGTTGTCGCTATTGGAGAGAGGCGAGAATACTGCTACATCAAATGAAGATAGTCATGTCAGAATGAACCCTATGATGCATAAGGTGGTTAAGCAGATTTTGAATGCTCGTGGAGTAACTTGGGCCCCCAACTCATCTTGGAGACCTCCATTAACTGAGAACAGTTGGCTAACAGCACAGATTGTTTGGGCATCACAGAGAGACGTGCAAATCCTGAGCAGAAAAAAGTTCTGGACAAAGAAATTATTGTCTAATCTCAATGTGCTAATTGCTCGATGGTCAATCACCTTTGAGCGTTGTCAGTTTGAAGGGATTACATTTCTTGACATGAAAGAGGTGAGACTAGGAGCTTTTCCTTATGCAATATGTTCGATGGTCAAGTTACAATACTTGAACTAATCGTCAACAGGAATCACTCAAGTTCCGCTTGAAATGAGAAATCTTTCCAATCTCAAGTATCTTTTCCTCAGAAACAACCATGAGCTTGCTCCGCTACCGACAGGTCTTATCGGTGAACTTGAGAAACTGACTGAGTTCGATGTTTTCGCTACTCGTTGTTTCCTAGACTCCTATCTCATGACTGAGCTTCAAGAAACAGATCACGAGTACCTTATGCTTGGGCTCACGGTGAAGTCAATAGGTCAGTTCCTTGGATTGAGCAAATTTCTCTGCATACTCCCCCGCGTGTCTCTGCTCTATCTCTGTTTGCTTGACCTCCAGGGTTGCACTACTATAGATCTCTATAAGCTGTCTGGTATCAAAAGGCTGCGAGAACTATGTATCATGGACTGTAATGTGTTGAGTTTGGTTGCTGAAGTCCAGGATGAGACTCAAGATGCGCAGCAACTACTCCATGTCCTTCAAATGGTTGCAATAAGAGGTTTATCAAAACTCAGAGAAGTTAATCTCAAAACCGTGGGTGTGAGCATCACATCAATCAGTATATCTGTCTGTCCTGCACTAATTGATTTGTCATGGATCAAGGATCTCATCAACCTTGAGCAACTTTCCGTCACTCAGTGCAGGATGTTAAACAAAATACTGTCTCTGGATGTAGTACAGCAAGACACAATCAGTATGCCAAAACTCAAGACTGTTCACCTAGAGGGATTGGAGGAGCTTACAGTCATAGCTGATTTAACCCTTAAATTGGATAATATTGTGCATTTTTCAGTGTTCTTGTGCAGCAAGTTAGTTGGCTTACCTGTGGTGGGCGAGCGCAAACCAAAAGTTATACTGGACTGCGATATAAGTTTCTCTGATAAAATTTTGCAAGATGGCAACGAGTCTCCTTACAGCATAAGAGTGGCTTGGTAAGATTCATTATGTTCTTTTCGCCCTTTACTGCTTTTTATTTTATTTGTGAGCACATGTGATATATAGTTTCTTGATAATATTAGAGTTCTGATAAATTTGGCATCTGGGCTTTTATATTTTGGTACCTCCTTTAATTTTGTCAAGTGATTGGTAGGCCCTCCTTGAGCTTCTGTATCTAGTTAAAATAAATTAGTTTTGTTTCTAGTTAAACGAGGTTTTAGATTGGAGAACCTCCCAAGAGATTAATACAGCATATAATATAGTTAACTCATCAGCTTGCACATATATCTCTGAAAAATGACTCCATGGTGCTTACAATTTAATACTATGACAAATGACATAAAAATTTACCAACTTCAAAAGGGAAATCTCCAACAACAGATGAATCTTCTGGTTGGTCTTCATCTGATGCTCTCTAGATACTCTGAGACAAAATAGTGCATTGCTTTTTCTGCTTTCGCGTTCCCTTTTTGTTGATGATATTCCATATCTGTTCTTTGTTGAGGGCAAATATTTGATTATTTAGTGTGGCCACTGGGATGTAGTTTAGTCTAATTATTTCTTTTGCCAGTTGTTCAACTGGAATGTTGTTTTTGTTTGTACCTAAATATGCATTGCTAGCACATGTACAAAAAGTTACCTAAACGAACAAATTGACTGATGCTATGTTCTGATTGCAGTTTATTCTAGCATTTTTCCGTGTTTGGTGCGGAAATGATATCTAAAAATTCTCTGTGCAATTGCAGATTAATCTCAATCTTCTGTCAGAAGTTTGAGGTTGCTTTGTTTCAGTAGCTGCCGAGTAGAATGTGAGCATGTGCCTTTTCTGGAGTTTGAGCTGGAGGAATTTGGCGGAGGGATGTTTTTTTTTTTACTGCGGTTCAAAGTGAATGAAGATGACAGAATATGTATGATATGACAGATGCGCTAGAGTGGTTTGTCTCTTAGACATGAAATGTTTTCCCCTGGTCAGGGTGAACAAAGTTGGCAAATGGTCAGGCGTTGAAACCTGATTTTTTTTTTTTTGTTTACTTGCGTTTTGAGATGAAAACTTGATGGTTTGTATGACCAGCCACTTGTACTTGGGTAGTGCCCAATTACCTGCATGAAAAATGGTAGTACCGGAACTCCCCAACCTTTGGCAATGAAAGATTGCGGGCTATTTCTTGTCTATATAAGAACATTGTGCATGACTTGTTCTGGATTTTGTTTAGTTAAAGACTTGGAACAAAGGAATGTTGCCAGGTCATGGCAGTTGTTCCAAACCCCCCCTCTTGATGCTATATTGTAATATGCCGTTACACTACGTGAGAGAAAGAGTGTCAACCGTCTTAGGTGCTTTGATAAGAAAGGGAGTGGGTGTGTATTTCCAGCCTGTGCACATAAAACTGTGTCCTGTACTTTTTTTTTCTTAAAGTGCAAAGTTGACAAAAACAACAATGGAACTGAACAAGTTGAGCAAAATGAACGAGCATTGAGCATTTGACAAACAAGTAGTACCTGCTTTTGCACCTGCACCTGCACCGGTTGATGTGGGTGAAAACAGAGCACTGATGCTTGTGCTGTAAGAAGAAGTAAAAAATGAGATGATGCTCCAGCAGAGCAGCAGATGATGAAGAAGACTGTTGCTCGCCAAGGTAAGCCTCCAGAAGAGCAAATCATTTCTTTTGTTTTGAAGTCTGCTCCCATGGAGGGAGTATAAAGGAAGTGCTCGCTCAGGTCGAAATTGAAATCCTTTTATAATTTCTCTCCGCGAGGCGTGAGACACCCATGGAGGATTTGGTGTCTGCTTCCCGGCGTCGGTTTCAGTGATACACGCATCGCCTCAGACGCTTGTGCCTGTCGACTCACACTCGCAGCACAGGGAATGTGTGGAATACGAGTAGAGGCCTATCTGAATCAAGATAGCTGCCACTCGCAAAAAAGAAAGAAAGAAAGAAAGAAAAAGAATCAAGATAACTGTGAAAGGGAAGGGAGAAAACAGGCTACGCATGGTGCCAGACACAGTGGAGTTTGTGTCTGCTGCCCACGCGTAAGTTTCAGTATCCACCCAGCCCACGCGTCGCCTCAGGGCCATTCGTGTCTGACGCGCGGCGCCAGTCAGTTTTGTATTCACACGGTCTGTAACTGAAGATAGATACTTGTAGGCTCTGGTATGTTACCAAGGATTTAAATCTCGACCTGGGCAAATTAAGCACACTTGTAACTCTATGTAAACTAAAGTTTCTGGCATGGTGAAAAATATTTTGGGAATCACCAACTGAAATGAAACTGAATCTTGAACAACAGCCCCGGAGCTTACAAGGACAAGAGGTTTTTTTTTTTTTTTTTGAGAAAGACAAGGACAAGAGGTTGACCAAGGAGAGCCTACGCATCGCTGCAGACATCGGCCCGCTCGGTGTCTGAAGCGGAGCGTCAGTTTCAGCGGTCGACAACCTCTACATTACGCATCGCTGCAGACACCGGGCGCTCAGTGTCTGATGCGGAGCGTCTGTCTGTTTGAGTGGGAGACGATTCCATTCTGAAATTCTCCAATATCTCTATTCCTAATGGAGCAGTTGGTAGTCTCGCTTCCAGGTTTTTTTTCGTCCCACCACTTTCGTCCGGTTTTTTTCCGTAGGTTAACCGTCGTAGATTTTTTTCGATGATGGTTTCTTATTCACCGGTTTATTTACCCCTCAGCTCTTTCCTTGCAAATCAGGACTTTTCAAATGTGCACGCAATCACGGATCTAAATTTACTAACTTATCCAAATCAACCGATACCTTCCATTATTGCAAATTTCTTTAGGAAACAAATAATAGATTTTAAAGAAACAAATAAAAGATTTTAAAGACACATCATACTTTACTAATAATCACTAAAAATCAAATCTAAATTAATTAACCTTACCTTAAATCACTCAATCACTTTAATTAGAAAACATTTTCTTTCCTAACTGCACCTCGCTTAGTGTGCACATAACAATCCGAAGTAATTAGGGTCACATGATTGAATCCATTTATTTAGAGCGACATGATTGCGTTCCGGGATGGAGGCCATGATTTCGTTGAGGTCGTTGCTGCCTCCTACACTCAGGGTGTGTCGCCGAGATCGAGGCGAGCATGAGGAGCTGTGGCCACCGCCATGGTCACCTCATCGCAGGGGATGGAGCACGCCGTCGGCCTACAGCTTGTGGAGATCAGCACTTTCCAAACGTGCACGCAATCACGGATTTAAATTTACTAACTTATCCAAATCAACCGATACCTTCCATTATTGCAAATTTCTTTAGGAAACAAATAATATATTTTAAGGAAACAAATAAAAGATTTTAAAGACGCATCGTACTTTACTAACAATCACTAAAAATCAAATCTAAATTAATTAACCTTACCTTAAATCACTCAATCACTTTAATTAGAGAACATTTTCTTTTCTAACTGCACCCCGCTTAGTGTGCACATAACAATCCGAAGTAATTAGAGTCACATGATTGAATCCATTTATTTAGAGCGACATGATTGTGTTCCGGGATGGAGGCCATGATTTCGTCGAGGTCGTTGCTGCCTCCTACACTCAGGGTGTGTCGCCAAGATCGAGGCGAGCATGAGGAGCTGTGGCCACCGCCATGGTCACCCCATCGCAGGGGATGAAGCACGCCGTCGGCCTACAGCTTGTGGAGATCACTGTTGCTCTTCAGGTCGCGTGGTGACCGGATCTTGCCGATGTGTCCCTCCCCGACGACCTCCTCTTCGCCCGGTTGGCCGGCATGGATCTCGCCACTACTGCCCTCAACTTCTCTGCCTCGAGCTCGACGGTCAGCCACCATGGATCCCCCAGCTGGAGGGTCACGTGAACCAGCCGTCCTCCCATGCTGCAGCGGCGAGAAGGTGACATGGCTCTCCGTACACGAAGAGTGGAGTGTGGAGTTCGGTCAAGTACTTATATACTTGGCCTCTACTGCTGATCCATGTACATGGAGAAGAACAGACAACCGCTCATTCATGCTTCGTTCCACTCCTTTGCGCTACATTACTGGAGGTGACATTTTCCTATCTCTCTATGTTGTAACAAGCCTGTTGCCTGCATAGTTAATGGATTTTTTATTTAAATTTATCGCTGCTTAGTGCTTTGTTGCAATTGTTCACGCAAGATTCTTATATATAATCTAAGCGTATGTAGGCATACTTAGCTTTGCTATTCCAATTTTTTTGGCGCATAGAAATAAGAGTATTGTCCAGGTTAGGTATTCAATTGAGTATGGTATTTGGATTGCTATCAGAATGTCTTTTCTATGCATGTGATTTCTCACATCTGATTATAATATTTGTGAAGACATGCATTGCACGTGCACTTGGAAGTGGGCCCGTGGCCCGCGCTGGACGGCGCCGACGCCGACCCGAGCCACCTCGTCCGCGTATTCTTGGAGCTGTGGCTGGTCGATTTACATGAAATTAATTCCCTCAGTTCTGGTGGCAAATATAATACACATAATCCATATTGTTATGCACTAGCGTGTATGTGTGAAATAGATGGATTATGGTCCCGTACCCAATAAGATGAATATGTGTGTGTGTTAGAGAGAGAGGGAGAGGGGGATAGAGAGTGAGGAAGACGGAGGAAGAGTGTGTGTTTGTGTGTGTGTGAGGATTTGATGGTAAAAAAGATCGCCAATGTCGTAATATTGAACTCTTAAAGTTAATGTGGCCCCGTTGCAACGCACGGGCGTTCTTCTAGTAATGGTAAGGATGAGGGAGGCTGTCTCTTTCCTTCTTTCCCCTCCTCTCTTCCTTCTCACCGCACCGCCGCCGCTTCCCCCAATCATCCCGGGCTCCCGGCGCTGCCCTCGCCTTGGCATGCTGGAGATTCAGGTGGGGAGCGAGCCATCTTCCACGAGGCGACCTAGGGGGCGTCTCTTCCCTCCCGCTCAGCAAGTGCCTCTCGCGTGATAGATGCGGCTCGACGGCGAGAAAGACAGCCGGAGTGGCGGCCACGGGCTGCTGCTCTTCTCCGTTAAGGCACCGCGGCGGGACAGGGACGACGTTCGACACCCACATCGGAAGACCTGCTCGCAATTTCTAGTGTCGGGCTGCGGAACTAGACGAACCTCGGCCGATGCCAAGGTGAGCTTCTCCCACTTAATTCCTTCTTCCCACCCGCACCAGGTCTTGATTTCTGCTCCGAGGGCAATTGATTGAAGCTACAACTCAAGAAATTTCCTTATTCTAATCTAACTTTAGGTTCGAATTCCTAATGACCAGAATCAATGAATACTATTTGTGCTAATACTAAATTCTAGAGACGCATGCTAATTCTTATACATACGTAATAAAAAAAGACATCGATCGCAAAATCATGAAAGATTTCAAATGGAGTTTTATTTCATTCTCCACATCAATTTCCTCTGACTGCGCAAGTTTAGTTTGCTAACGTGGTCTGCTGGCATCCCTTCGGGGACATGGAATAAAATCGGAACAAAACTTGGTCTGCTGGCCATTTCGGCCTCATCGGGCCGACGCATGTTTGTAGAGGGTCAACATGTGTGCTTTTCAGAAAGGGAACTATCGGGTGTTTTTGCCGATCCGCTGATCTGGAGATTTTCATAATGCGGTATAGTTTTGGAGTGGCTCTAGCTGGCTTATTCAGTATCGAGAAAAACAATACGAGTTACTTGTAGATTGATATCAGATGGAATTTTGGGGCCTTGCAATTTATTTCATGTTTGCTTGCAAAAAAGCTAGGTGTTTCATATATTTAATAATCTG